TCATACAAACAAAACAATCCAGTAAGGTACCAAACAGGAAATATAGTGTAGAGCGAATGTAGAATTGACCAATCAGAGGCCTCCTGTCTGCGGTTAGCTACAATTTTGGAGAGGTGCAGCAGAGTGTCTGCGGAAGGGGCGGGGCATATTTGCATTCACTGCGACACACACGCAAACGACCTGGTTTCTGAGTAGAAATCAGCATTAAACCAGAAATATCTGTCATACCTGCGACAAGCTCACTGCAACACACTGCTGCGGGAGGATAAGCAGCCCTTTAGGTGTTACTATATTTGGGCAAAATGTCGCTCCCAGACTCAGTGATCGCAACGAAAAATTTTTTTTTTTTTTTCTGATTTACACTAAATTCATCAAATCCCTGCAAACGTATTAGTTTTAGGTATAAATAATGATCCATTGATTATTCCTTGCTGACCAGGCTGTTCATGGAGGAAAAATCTATTCATTACAAAGATCCTTTAGATTAGAATTTACATTTTTTTTTTTATATGTTTTCCTAGACTTGAAGTGGAGATGTTTGGGTTTCCGAGGTGACGCATGTGTAACCAAACGTGACACTTCCTGTTTCTTCCCGTACGGTAGAGTGAGGGAAGCGCGTTGCATTGTGGGCGTACAAACAGCACAGAGGGGGACAACACAGACCACAAAGGAATGAAGGCAGCACCTCCTGTGACTTTTAGGAGCCTTTTGTTGTGATGTAAATCTGTCTGAGCGGTTAATAAACTGTGATCTGGAGCGGCTGGCAGGCGGACAACTGCCTGACAAGAGCGGGGAATGTGAGCGGCAGCAGCGGCAGGGCGCGCGGCTGTCTCCGACTGCTTTTTGTCAGCTTAGCCATCAGCATCCAGAGGCCACGGCTCTCTTCCCAGGCCTCCCGCCCGAAGGTAAACTCACATTTTACAGCCTTGTTCACATGAAATAGAGCCCCGCTCTGTGGGGCATTACCTGCGTCTGCTTTGTAAGCCGAGCTAAGCTAACTAACAGCTATTTGCTCAGGTTAGCGTTAGCATAGCTAACGGTTGTTAGCTGTAGCATCAAAACAAACGGTTGGAGACGAGGAAAGCGGAAATAGTTGGTCTCGAAATAAGGTTAATGACATGCAATGATTTTAACTGAAGATGGAGACACTTGGTTTTGGGCTTTGATTCGTTGCAGTTTTTTCGTAAATTAGGATTTTTTGGGGGGCAATAGAAGAAGGCAGAACTAAAAGCTAAAGCTAGTCGTCGTTGTCTTGTTTGGTTTGTGAATTGAGAAAAGCTGTTCTACTCTCGCCGCCCTGACACCGTTAGCCGGAGCCGGTAGGCTGCATGTGTTCAGCACCTTGGTCCTCCTCCCTGCATACCTGCAGCTGCTGCCAGCCTTCCTCTGCCTGCCTCTGTCCGGTTTGACTTGATGCTACCTGGAAATACAACAGCCTGACGGACACGCTTATCTGTTTTCTGGAATAAAAAAAAAAAAATGTTTTAATAAAATTATTTTATAAAATATTCTCTCATCACTGAAACCGTTTAGCTGAAAATATTTATAAGACTGAAATTATCCTGAAAAACGTTTAAAGGGGAAGTCTGGTCAGCAAGGAATAATTAAAGGGTCATTATTTATACCTAAAACTAATATCCTCGCGATGATTTAATGAATTTAGCATTAATCAGTAACAATTTTTTTTAAATCTCATTTATCGATGAGTCTGGGCCATTTTTGCCCAATATTGGCAGTTTTTTTCAATCTGTGTACTTGTGCATTATGGTGTACTCACACTCAGCCATAGTACTGTTCCAATTCACAAGAACAGCAGACTGAGAACGGACAAGGGCCGCTTCTCAAATCACAAAAATGCAGGTATGGGCTCGTGTCCTCGCCAAGTCTGTTCTTGAGAAGAACACAGGAAAGTCTGGACTCTGGGAGAACGGGAGCATGCAGAATAAATCTGGTAGCCTAGTAAATCAGCTCCACACGCCGGCGGCCAAAATCATTTTTGCCTTCGAGTGGTCTAACCACGATCAATGCCCCACCTAGATCTGGCGGGCCAATCACAACGCAGAGATGTGTTTCGAATTTTCTGGATGCAAAGCGGGCGGGGATGCTGGAGAAAGCACAACAAGGAAGATGGCAACAACTATTGGCACTACGGTGCACGACTGTGTTAAAAAAGTTATGCAGATAGATTTACTGTCACAAGTTGCAGTTATATACTGATAATTTCAACTAACCTCGGCTATATTCCGCGGAAGAGCGACAGATATCCTTGGCTTGTCTGTGTTGTGGTGGAGCTTCTTTAAGTCTCTCTGTGTTTTCGAGGAAATAGACTCCCGAGCTCTCTTTTCAGCAGCTGTCCGTTCTGGGGGGGCACCTGCTTCCACCTCGTATTCAATCCACCTCCAATAAATTGTCAGATTTCGTTCCAGAATATTAAACACCGTTTTACAAGCTCAACAGAGTCGTTTGGAATTCCCCGGTGTAATCTAAAGGTTCACTCCAACTTTCTGTAATCTTTCTGCCACTGACAACGTTTGATTTGAACTTTGGAAAAGTGTTGTATAGTGGTGTAGCACCCCGGCTACTCGCATGTAATTTTTGCACAAACAACAACAATAGTCCAAGTCCATGATCTTAAAAAGTTATCCACTGCTCACATCACATGCTGTTTGTTTACACTCCCCAACAGCTTTCTGTCCCGCTTTACGTCACAGTCGGTTGCGCTCATTGGTCAGAGCGTTGGCCAATAGGCACAGACATGGTTTGAAAGACAACGGGTTGTTCTCATCAACAATCTTCTGATGTCTCATTCATCGGAATTAAATTACACATTTAATCTCACATTTAGTCTGGTTTATCAGGCTATAAATCTGGGTCAGTCGGAACAGAAGCGTACTGATGACATCACCACATGCTGGCTCGTCTGGAGCTGCATTTCACCTCCTGTTATTAATGGTATCTCATGATAATAAAAAAAATTCTTACTTTTTTCATTTAGTGAGGGGATAATAATGAACACAGTCAGATAAAAACAAATCAAATGAACTGAAATAAAACAAAAATATTGCCATCAGATCCAGTGGTGCTTCACACACAGCTATGCAGAGAGTGCTGCAGACGGGCTAACGTTAGCTCCGAATGCTGAAGACAGGGCTAACATTAGCTCTGGCTGCTGCTGGTGACAATTTCCAGAGGATCTCACCATTGAAATTCACCAGAGCTATAGTTAAACTGACAATGCCCACGTGCATGGCAGCTGGATGCTGGAATACATCGGGTAAAAGTGAAAAATCCTCCACGGACGGGTTGCTAACTTGAAGAGGGAGGATTTTCCATCAAATTTCTGGCCAGAGAAAAAACACGTAATGTTTTTACTGATTAACGTTAAATTCATTAAATCATATTAGTTTTAGGTGTAAATAATGATCCATTGATCATTCCTTGCTGACCGGACTTTTCCTTTAACAGACTTGATATGAATGATAAAAATAATCCTAACAAGCTTGAGTTAAGGGGTTAACTTCTCACATGTATTACTGGCAGAGTCCATGTTTCCCAGCCTCCTAAGGTTATAGATGTGCTGCAGACAAACGGTGACAGATCTTCACTGTAGAAAAGCCAAAGAGCAAAATATTGCTACATGATACTGAAAACGGCTAATCTTGCTTCCTCTCCCCAAAGTAACGGCTTCTACATAGAGAAGTACTGTTTTCAGTTCCATCATCGGTTTGACTCCAGACATTGAGGACATTATCCATTGTTGATTGTCTTTACTTTATTTTGATTGTATTTCACATATTTTTCTGTATGAACAGATATGGTCAGATAAGCTGATATGATTCAGCTAAAGCAGTTCTTACTATATCCTGTTTTAAGGCATATTTTAGTAGTAATACTTCAGATTACATGCATGCATATTTGACTAGAGATTTTT